AAATGCTTGTAATACATAATTTTTGCATGCTTGTCACTAAGTTCTATTTGTATGTGGCAGATCTACTTTTGCTTGAGAACTGGGTATTATGATGAAGCAAGAGCTGTTGCTTTGTCATCTCGCGTGTCAAACCAGTTTGCTCCTCTGGTAAAGACTTTTTTATATTCATTTAAATTTATAGCATATGCCGGCTTATTCATTACTTCATTTTTGGACAGCTTACTGAGTGGATTAATACTGGAGGTATGGTGCCTGCGGAGATTGCAGCTGCTGCATCAGAAGAATGTGAAAAAATGTTAAGAACGGGTGATCGTGTGGGCCGAGCTGCATATGACAAGAAAAAGTTGTTACTATATGCTCTCATATCTGGTTCTCGTAGGCAAATCGACCGCCTACTAAGAGATCTACCTACTCTTTTTAACACCATAGAGGATTTCTTGTGGTTCAAATTGTCAGCTGTAAGAGACTGCCCTGGTGGAGCTGCACCCATTGTCATGAATGAGAGCTTGGTACCATACACATTGGATGATTTGCAGATTTACTTGAATAAATTTGACCCCTCATACTATACAAAAAATGGAAAGGACCCTCTGGTGTACCCATATGTTTTGCTTTTAAGCATCCAGTTGATACCAGGTGTGGTATACTTGTCCAAGGAAACTGGAGATGAAGGATATAACATTGACGCTGCCCACATATCAATTGTGCTAGCAGACCATGGGGTCCTTTCTGAAGGAGCTGGGGCTGGACAGAAAATGGGCGTGATGGATGCTTACGCAGAGGCATCTAGTATAATCAGGCAGTATGGGTCTGTGTATTTACGTCTTGGTAATCTTCAGGTGGCATTAGAATATTATGCACAAGCTGCTGCTGCAGTTGGTGGTGGGCAGTTGTCATGGTCTGGAAGAGGTAATGTGGATCAGCAAAGGCAGAGAAATTTGATGCTGAAGCAGCTCCTTACAGAACTGTTGTTACGGGATGGGGGCATCTATCTTTTACTTGGTTCAAGAGGTGCCGGAGAAGAAGGTGAATTGGGGCGATTTTTGACTGATGCAAAAGAAAGACAACAATTTCTGCTTGAAGCTGCTCACCAATGTCAGGAAGCTGGATT